ATTATCACACAGGAAAACCTGGCAGTTCCTATGCCAGAGGCCATGTTTTTGGTAGGGCATCTGTGGCGGCCACTTCAAAAGGTGAGTCAGGAAGAGAGGTAGGAGGCCCCCTGCTGAAAAGAGGAGTCTTTCCATCAGGTGCCGTCTAAGTGGATTCAAACACCTGGCAGAGATCTCCCAACAGTGCCGAGCTCCTTAGAGCTATCCGGACATGGAAGACTGTGACCCTCACAGCAGGATTCTCCAACAGGAGAGTTCTCAGAAAAGGATAGTCCCTTGAGTGTAGGGCACTGAGTGATCCCAGACTTACTTTCTTCCCCTTTCCCTAAGTCACAAAGTCTTTGCTTGAGACTTTAGGGAAGTCTCTCACCTGACCTCCCTGCCATTTGTCCCCTTGCCAGCAATGCTCAATACATCGTCAGTGGCTCTGATGATGGTTCCTTCTTCATCTGGGAAAAAGAAACCACCAACCTAGTTCGCGTCCTCCAAGGAGATGAGTCCATCGTCAACTGCCTACAGCCACACCCCAGCTACTGCTTCCTGGCCACCAGTGGCATTGACCCTGTTGTGCGACTCTGGAACCCAAGACCAGAGGTGAGGATACAGGCAAGGTAGGCCAGATAGCCAAAACCAGACAAAGAGTGGCGACCCTGTGCAGAGCCTCCGGCTAAGGCTTTCATGTCTGCGAAGAAAAATGAGCCACACAGTCTAGAAGCTGCTGGGACAGGTAAAGCTGGGAAGGTGGGATCTTCTAGATCCTAGAAAGCTCTAAATGCAGTGGGTATTTCTAGGGGTGAGAGTTGGCTTCTGCCTTCTTGGAGCATATTGTTGAGTCAGCTATGAAGATGAGGTGCCCATACACCAAGAGCAGTGGGGTAGGAGGGCAGACAGAACTAGCTCAGCTGTGGCCTCTCATGAGGATGCCTCCATCTCCCTTGGAACCCTTCCCCTCATGTGCTACTGTGATGTGTCCACCCAGAAGCCATTTAGGGACTGACTCCTCAAGTCCCAGGAGGTGCACAGGCTTTGGAGTCTGGTAACCTTAAGTTAGCTCTACCTCTTGACTGACTGCTTGTGCAACTTAACCATGGGGGTGATAGCACTTCTCCAACCTAGTGTGTGTGCTCTCCCCATATATTTGCTGTTGCAACATGTCACCCTGCAACATAGTCTTGTGTGTATGTTCACCCCAATGTATTTTTAAAAAATATTTTATTTATTATATTTATTTATTTATTTGGTCTTTTTGAGACAGGGTCTCCCTGTAGCCCCAACTGGCCCAGGACTCACAGAGATCCACCTGCTTCTGCCTCCCAAGTGCTGGGAATTATTTTTATTTTATGTGTATGAGTGTATTGCCTGCGTGTGAGTGCACCCTTGTCGTGCAGTGCTGCAGAAGTCAGAAGAGGGCTTCGGATTCTCCTGGAACTGGAGTTAAAGATGGTTCGTAGCCGCCATGTGGGTGCTGGGAATCAAACCTGGGTCCTCTACAAGAGCAGTCAGTGCTCTTAACTGCTGAGCCATCTCTCCAGCCCCAATCCCAATGTATTTTACCCTGCCCCACATGTACCTCAGTTTGGTGTGTCTAGTATATATCCTAAAGTTCGTGTTCCTCATCTATTCTAGTGTGTTCCCTTCGACCTGTGCATAGTTCCCATTGTGTAGCTCCGTGTGTGTGTGTGTGTGTGTGTGTGTGTGTGTGTGCGCGTGCGCTTGAACTTTCCTCCCCCAGATCCTATGTGTATGCCCTAGTACATGTACCACCCTCATATTGGTGTCCCTCCACCCTGAGCCCACTCAAACTGCCCCCCTCCTCCACCACAGAGTGAAGACCTCACAGGCCGAGTCGTGGAAGACATGGAGGGCGCCTCTCAGGCCAACCAACGGCGCATGAATGCAGATCCCTTGGAAGTGATGCTACTCAACATGGGCTACCGGATCACAGGCCTGAGCAGTGGGGGCGCTGGAGCCTCTGATGATGAGGACAGCTCAGAAGGCCAGGTGCAGTGCCGGCCCAGCTAGACACTCCTAGCTCCCAGTCCCCAGTCCCTGCTACTGGCTGGACCCTCCACCCTGGGTAGGAGGTCAGGGGGTTGGGTTCTCTTTGGTTTTGTCTTCCCACCCTACCCCCATTTTTCATTCCCCATTTTGTTAGTTTGGTATTGTGGTGGGGATTGCTGCAACTTGCTGGCTTCAGACTCTTGGGCTGATTGTCCCTTGACTGTCCCCAGCCCTGAGCAGAAAAGCAGGAGGGGGAGCCCCTTCATATGCTCCCACATCCTGCTTCCACATCCCTGGAAGGCTCTGGCCCTTCACAAACCCCCCTCTGCCTCCAGTGGGGAGGCAAGAGCTGAAACAGTCTTCAAGGACTGCCCTGCCCTTCAGTTGGCAGCAGAAAGGGAGCGGAACTCCCAGCTGGCAGAGGCTTGCCTTGGCCTGTTGCCACTCTTGCTCTCCCTCCTACAGGGCTAGCTCCCCTGTGGCCTTCTGGGAAGGTCCTGCCACAGCCAGCAGTGTTAGGTGGATGCTTGGGAAAGATGGGAGTCCCAGAGTGGGCAGTCAGGCCACCTGCCCTGGTGGCAGTGGAGCTCCTCGACTCCTCCTGGGCCTGCTGTCCTAGGCCACCTCTGGAGGATCTGCCTTTCCTGAAATGTGGCAGGGGGTGGGGCGTCTCAATCCCCACCCACCTGCACATGCAGAAACACTTCTTCGCCATGGCCACTCTCCTCAGGCGCTCCTGGCCTCACTGTGACCTTTCTGCGAGCTCCCAGCCAGGACTACTCTGCTGTGGTGGCGCTTCCTAAGGGCCCTTCTCGCCCTCTCTGTCCTTCCCGCCCCATGTGCTGAGCTGCCACAAAGACCAAAGAAGCGATGGCTTTTCTCTGTCCCCTGCTGCTCTGGGGGGATGGGGTGGGAAAGTCCCGAGCTCAGCCATCCCTCCCCAGCAGCCCCAAGCTTTACACTGGATGCGCAGTCACTCTACCACCAAGCCTCCCTCTCCCCTGCCCCTTGGCTCTTCTTGGGAGCTACTCTGGGAGTTGGTTCATCCCTGCCTCCCCCAGCCCTCTGTGCTTAGCCTGGGCACCAGCCCTCCAGCTGCAGCCTCTGGGGAGAAGCAGCCTCCCTTCCCTCCCTCCCTCCCTCCCTCCCTCACCCCTGTCTCTGCCAGGTGCCTCCTCTCAGTCAAGCTTCAGAGCAGCCCTGGAGACAGGAGGGCCACGTTAAAAGCTTTTTCACAGTTTTAAGAAGTCGAGGGGGGTGAGGCTAGTGGTGGGGGGTCTGGCACCATCTCATTGCTTTAATCTCAGCTACACAGGTGGCAGCTTCTCCCCCTTCCTGCCCACCCCAGGCCCTCTTCCCACCCCTCTCTTCTTGTAGCTTGGTAATGAAGTGTATTTATTGGTGAAGGGAACAGCTGCTGCTGCTTCTCCTGCTGCTGGGACTTGCTCCCCTGTTTCTTCTTCATGACCTTTCTCAAGCCAGGGAGGGGGAGCCAGGAGTATTGGGGCTAGGCCCTGGGCACAAGACCTAGCCTGGGTCCCTTTGCTTTCCTATGTTCTAGCCACCCGTCATTTCCTCCCTCCCTGACTCTGCCTCCCACCCCCTGCCTGCCCAGCCTGGGCCCTGCAGTGTGGAGGGACACATAAGCCTTACTGTCCTCTGGGGGCAGGAGCCGAGCCTTTTTGTTGCTCTGCTCCCAGGAGAGTGAGGGTGACGCAATTGATTAAAACCATTTTGTTCTAGTTGTGACTGGTGGCGTTTGTGGGGGGCACAAATGAGTCTTGGGTTCCTCCCTTTAAAACCTCTGTGACTGGAATAAGCACACCTCTGCCAGGAAGAATGGCACCTGCCTCCTTAGGGTCATTATGAACAGTGCCACCAAGCTCAGAACCCAGCACGGGTGTCTGGTCTGGCCAGCTTTTACTCTGACTTTCTCACCTATAAAATAAGGGGGTTTAAGTCTCGATAGTTTTTCAGACTTTCTAAACTGGAACCCAAATAAGAAATACACATTTCACCCTGTGATCCAAGATGTACATGCTTGCTATGTATATAAGGATCAAATGTTTTCCACAATAGTATTTACCCTTTCTACATGCCACATGTTCTGTGTACCTTTCTATTATGGGAATATTTCTGGTTTTAGCCTACTAAACTGATTTCACATCTCAGTTTTTAACCCTGTGCCCTAGATTATCAAATGATAGCTTAGACCAAAGGATTACAGAATTTCTCAGCTCACAGTATAATTATTATCCCAATAATTTTTTTGCCTGGAGCCCCCTAAGCCAAAAAAGTTAAATTTTTTTTTTTTTTTTTTTTTTTTTTTTTTTTTTTTTTTTTTTTTTTTTTTTTTTTTTTTTTTTTTTTTTTTTTTTTTTTTTTTTTTTTTTTTTTGGATCTTTTTGAGACAGGGTCTCCTTGTAACCCCAGCGGCCTAAAACTCACTTTGTAGACCAGACTGACCTTGAACTCAGAGAGATCTGCCTGCCTCTGCCTCTGCCTCCCAGTGCTGGGATTAAAGGCATGCAAGGCATGTACCACCACACCCACCTAAATTTAACTTATTAAGTGTTTAAATTGCTGGGCATGGTCAAATCACTTAGGAAGTATTTGTTATATTTTAAAATAATACAACTAAATTAGAATTTTTTTGAGATGGAGTTTCTAGCCCAATATGAACTCATTTACTATGCAGCCAAGGATGACCTTGAACTTCTGATGCTTCTGCTTGTGCTTCCAGAGTGAGTGCTGGGATTACAGGTGTGCACCTCCACACTGAGTTTGCATGGTGCAGTTTACTCCCATGCTGGGGGATGGAACCCAGGGGAATGGAACCCATGGCTTCGTAAATGCTAGGCAAGCACTATGTCAATCTACATCCAGCCCTATTTTATTCTTAAATAACTGCAGTTACTAGTGGAATCTGTGTACTTGGTAGACACTGCACAACTTGTCCAACTTTTATTCAAAGCAGACACCACCTCCCATATTTCCTATTCCACATTGACTCATTTACTTTTTATCACAGTGACCACTAAAAACTAAAATGATGCAGTCAAAAGCCATGCAGTACAATCTAATAGTGAAACTGAAAACCTCGAGTAGTAGTTTTCCCAGTAGCCAACAGATGCCGAGTACCTCTCAAACTTAAAACATTTTACTTTGTTCTTTGAAATTTGCCACCTTATCATAAGGTCCCTTGATGCCGTTTGGAAACCGTCATTAGTGCTAAAACAGTTTCACTGCAGAAACTTTATGAGTCTTCTATTTGTACCATCAGAGAGAATCAAGCTGGGTCAGCTGGCGGGTGCTTCATTTAGTTCTGGACACAAACTAGAAAGATATCCTGGGTTTCCAAACTAAAGTCCAAGGTCGGGCGTGGTCACGCACACCTTTAATCCCAGCACTTGGGAGGCAGAGGCAGGTGAATCTTTGTGAGTTCGAGGCCAGCCTGGTCTACATAGTGAGTTCCAGGACAGCTGGGGCTACAGGGAGACCCTGTCTCAAAAAGACAAAAAAAAAAAAAAAAAAAAGTCCAGAAGCTTCAAGATGATTTTCAGACCATGTAAAATAGGTACAGTGTTCAGGCCAAGAAGGTAATGTAGTGTTGCACCGTGGACCCTGATTCAGTTTGGCAGGGTTATAGAGTGGATGGGAAGGGTAGGCAAGTTGTGCAGATTTCCTCTCTTTAGGGAGAGACTATAGGCTTGATCCTCTAGGCAAGGAGGAGCCATTGGAATTCACCAGGTGTTCCCTTTCCTTTTTCCTCTTAATTAATACCTTTAATTTTCTAAGTAGTTTTAGGCTTATAGAAAATTGAGGGGCTGAGAAGATAACTTGGTTGATAAAGTGCTTGCCACCCAAGCATGAGGATCTGAGTTCATATCCCCTGCACCCTTGTAAAAATCAGGTGTGGTAGCATGCATCTGGAGCTGGAGTGGTGGAGACAGGAGGATCCCTAGAGTTGCCAGCCAGACAGTCCAGCTGGCAAGACCCTATCTCCAAAAATAAAATAGAAAGTCATTCATGATAGCATACACCTTCAATCCCAGCACTCGGGTGGCAGAGGCAGGCAAATCTCTGTTTGAGGCCAGTTAAGGCTACATAGATAGTTTCAGGACAGCTAAATCTACATAGACCTGTCTCAAGAAAAAACAAAAAACCAAAACTCCACATAGTGAGACCTTGTCTCAAAACAACAAAAAATCCTTAGGAATAGTTCTAACAAAATGTACATGGTCTATATTAATAGAATTTCAAAATCAGGGCTGGAGAAATGGCTCAGCAGTTAAGAGCACTTACTGCTCTGGTACCTAGGTTTAGTTCCCAGCATATGGCACCTAGTAACTTTCTGTAATGCCAGATCCAAAGCATTCGATGCTCTCTTCTAGCCTTCGCAGATATCAGGCATGCACATGGTGTACTTAGATACATCTTTTTTTAAAATTTTTGTGTGACAGGGTCTCCTAGTCCTAGCAGTGGCCTGGAACTATGTAGACCAAGTTGTCCTCAATCCCACAGAGATCCACCCACTTTCTTTAGGTTTTGACATAAAATCTTTAAAAAAAAAAAAGGGGGGGTGGGGGGAGCCATCCAACTGATGGCTCAGCAGTTAAGAGCACTGACTGCTCTTGCTGAGGACCTGGGTTCGATTCCCAGCACCCACATGGTACCTAACAACTGTCCCAAACTCCAGTTTCAGGGGACTCTGACACCCTCTTCTGACCTCCATGGGCATTGCAGGACATGAATGCACTTACACACATGCAGGCAGTACACTCATACACATAAAATTAAAAAAAAAGTTTGTGGGCTGGGGAGAGATGACTAAATAGTTAAAAGCCCTGACTGCTCTTGCAGAGAATCTGGGTTTGGTTCCCAACACCCACAAGGCAGCTAACAACCATCCATAACTCCAGTTCCAGGGAATCTGACAACTGGCCTCCACAGGCATTGCACACATGGGTGCACTTGCATACATGCAGGAAAAATACTTGTGAAAAATAAGCCAAGAGTAGTAGTTCACACCTTTAAATGCAGCTTTTGGAGGTAGAGGCAGGTGGCTCTCTGAGATGGAGGCCAGCCTGGGATGTTCTACATAGAAAACTCCAGGCCATCTGGGGCTACATAGTGAGGCCCTATATCAAATAATAGGGGCTAGAGAGATGGCTCAGTGGTTAAGAGCACTGATGGCTTTTGCAAAAGACCTAGGTTCACATCCCGGCACCCATGTGGCAACTAACAACCATCCATAACTCCAGTTCCAGGGGATCCAACACCCTCTTCTGTCCTCAGGCACTGCACAACATGGGTGGACTTAGAAACATACAGGCATAATACTAATACACATAAAATGAGTAATTTTAAAGCTCAAAATTGATTAAAAAAAGAGTATATAAAATAATCACTCATGGATAGGAAGATTCAGTGTTAATGTGTCAGCTATTTCCACCTTGGTCTATAGCTTCAACATCATCTCTAAAAGTCCAAGCTAGCTATTTGTGAATATCAGCAGAATGGTTTTAAGGTTTATATGGAGAGCCAGGCGTGGTAGCACACACCTTTAATCCCAGCAGAGGCAGGCAGATCTCTGTGAGTTTGAGGCCAGCCTGGTCTCTATAGTGAATCCAGGCCAGCTAGGGCTACAAGGAGACCCTGTCTCAAAAAGACAAAAACAAACAAACAAACAAAAAAATGAATAGCCAACGCAATATTGAACCAAGATGGAGCAGCGACACTACCCAACTTCAAGATTTATAAAACTAATATAATGAAGGCAGCACAATATTGACAAGAAAATTGACAAGGCTAGAGAGATGGCTCAGCAGTTAAGACCAGAGTTTGGTTCCCACTACCCATGTTGGGTGGTTCACAAATGCCTGTAACTGTGACCTGTGCAGGCACCTGAACTCGTACACACACACACACACACACACACACAAGTGACTAGCAAACCCCCAAACAGACCCACACAAAGCCAACTGATCTTTGGCACAGGAACAATCAGTTCAAGTATAGTCTTCAAAATCAACTTGTATGAAGACAACTAGACATTCATATGTCAAAAGAGAAAAACAGTCTAAAGATCTATTTAGTATATGTACCTCGAGTTTATGTATACCACATACATGCAGGAGCCCTCAGAGGCCAAAAGAGGATGTCAGATCCCCTGGAGCTGGGATTATAGGTGGTTGTGAGCTGCCTAACAGTGCTGGGAACCAAACTCTGGGTCCTCTAGAAAAGTAGCAAACACTCTTAACCACTGAGCCATCTCTCCAGCCCCAAGAAAAACAGTCTAAACCCTGACCTAACATTGCTCACAAAAGTTGACTAAAAAATATAGAAAAGCTGGGTGTGGTGGTGTATGCCTGATGTGTGGAAAAGCTGGGCATGGTGGTGTACACCTGTAATGCCAGGAAGCTAAGGCAGAAGGATCTCAAGTTTGATTTCAACCTGATCTACACAGACCTTGTCAAAACAAAATAAAAATCAGGAAATAAGAAAATTTGTGTGACCTTGAGTTTTGTAATGAGTTCTTAGATACAACACCAAAACTATGATCGATGAAAGAAAATGGGGGAGGCGGAGCTGGAGAGATGGCTCAGCAGTTAAGAGCACTGGCTGCTTTTGCAAAGGACCCAGGTTCAGATCCCAGCACCCACATGGTGGCTAACAACCATCTGTAACTCCAGTTCCAGGGGATCCCATGCCACCTTCTGACCTCCGTGGGCACTGCATG